ACACACACACACACACACACACACACACACACACACACACACACACACAGATAGATAGACAGACAGGTAGATACACACGCACACAAAACTTTCTCCAAACAAGAAGCTCAGTGACTGGAATAGCCTCATAAACACATTTTAACAGTTACTTTTCTTACAATAATAGAAGCCACTAACATTAATAAAGCTGTATGTGTTGGGTGCTATAAATAAGCTTTGTGTGGATTTTTAAGTTTAATAGTCAAAATGACCCTACCAAGATTTCCCTTACAAGACATACCAAAAGGCTAGGGATATAAGTAGGTGGTAAAAAGTATGTCTATTCTACCCACAAAGCCCTGAGTAAAAGTCTCAGTGTAGCCACAAAAGGGAGGAAAGGGGAGATCCTCTTTTTTGTTGTTGCCAAACCATATCTCCTTACCTCAAACACCACGTAGTTCTCACTACTCAGGCATTAAATGCCATTTTATGTTTGTCTTTCTCATAGATTGAGATCTTCAATAGCTATTGTGTGTACATGGACATGGCACATCAGGTGTGGATGTCAGAAGAAAACTTGTGGTGCCAGGAGTGGTGGCACACACCTTTAATCCCAGCAGTCAGGAGGCAGAGGTAAGCAGATCACTATGAGTTCGATGCCAGCCCGGTTTACAAAGCGAGTCCAGGACAGCCAAGGCTACACAGAGACACAAACAAACAAACAAACAAACAAACTTTTCGGAATCTCTATCTTCACAGGAGTTGCGGGGATTGAACCCAGGTTCTTCTGCTTCTTAGTCAAATGCTTTTTACTCATTTACAGAACATGCACTCTTACCATTTCTCACAAGAAATATTCAATCTTACTCCCAGATGTATTTTTATGTATCTTGAATACTGCTTTAAATATGACAGTTAGTAGAGCAATGTCCCCCACAACTCTCCACTTTCTTCACCCTTATAGGTCATTGCTATTTAGACTAGACAAGAGTCAAGAACCAATACCCAGAGCTCATTGCTCAGGCGTCTCCAACTATAGTATTTGTCAATTAGGATAATTTTCAGTCTACTGTAAAGTATTTAGTAAATATAAATGAATTTTGGAGGGCTGGAGACATAGCTTAATTGGTAGAGTGCTTGCCTAACATGCATGAACAAACCTTCCGTTAGATCCCTAACAACACAGAAAATCAGGTATGGCAGTAAACGCCTGTAATAATAGCAACTGGGAGGTATGAAGATCAAAGAATTCAAGGATACCCTCAGACACACAGCAAATTCAAGGCCAGCCTGGACAACATGAAAGGTTCTCAACAAAATAAATAAAAAACAGTGCTATATTTAGACTGGAGTCCTAGACTCCAGATACGTCATTGTAAATTTGGAAAAACTCCTATATCTGGAGGGAGGGATATCCCCAAACATTTCAGAACAGTTAAGATAACCGATACTTAACCTGTTCTATAATGAGAATTACACACCATTTTATAGGCATGGTGGAACACATCTTTAATCCCAGTACTTGGGAGGCAGAGGCAGATAAATCTCTGTAAGATGGAGACCAGCCTGGTCTACATAGTGAGTTCCAGGCCAAGTAGGGATACATAGTGAGACCCTGTTTCAAATAAACAATAAAAATAGAAAATTACATGTCATCAATAGTCATGCCTATATTATGCACCTCTTCTAAGTCAGACTCTCAATAAAAACTCTACCAGACGAACCCTGCAGTGTACCACATTAGAAATTAATTTATTAATACTGGATGCCATAAGCTTCCTGTAGTCAAGTCTAGATTCAAGAGTCTAGCTAGCACACAAATATAAGTAGGTAAGTAATTTTTTCCTAATACCACCTCCTGGTTCTGCAGTAGTACCAGAATACTAAACAAAGACATTATTAAATCTTTGTTAAACAGACTACTAACACACTGGAGACCCAGGAGACTGACAGCAGATATTAGTACACATTAATGAAGTCACAGTAAACAAGGACACCTTGGAGCACAGTGCTTTGAGAATGAGGTATAAATAGCAGTGGGAAAACTTTGGGAAAGTTAACAAATCACTGACTCTAGTTAAGAACCCCAGCCTTCACAACAGCTATCCTATTTTCTCCCTTGCTTAGAAGATAAAGAGTATGCATTTCCTTACTGGGACTAGGAATTTCTTGACTTCCTCCATGGCATGGGCCATAAGAGCATAAGCCTCACATGGTGGTCCAAAGACTTCAATGAAGACATGCAGATCCATATTTAAATGGGCATATTTGGGGTCTCCACCCTTGCGCAACTCTTCCTCCTATAATAGAATGCAAAGAAACATCAAATTATACACAAACTAAAAGAAAGCAATACTTTTACCTCTAGGCCAAAAAGAGAGCAACAAAAAATATGTAAAAACAAACAAACACAACTCTTGGGTGTTTTTGAGACAGTCTCTGTGTATAAACAGAGCCCTGACTGTCCTGGACTTCCTTTGTAGACCAGGCACCTGCCTCTGCCTCCTTCGTGCTGAGATTAAAGGCCTGGGCCACCATGCCTGGCTAAGAAAAAAATGAACTCTTAAAGGAAGTAAATTTAAAGGAAGTAAAGCAAGTCTTAGAAGCTAACTTACACTACCCACTAAAACTATACTTGGTTAACCCTTCCCTTAAGCCACTGAAGCATTCACTGTAGTGAATTAGGAATAAAACATTACACCTATTCAGATCAACACTTGTTTGCTCAGTACTTAGTACATGCACACCCATATTTATGGCCAAGTTTTTAAACCCATTAGAGCTCGTTATTACCATCAACCCTGGTAATATATTTTTACTGTCTAGGAATTCCATGGGAGGAACAAAGTCAGAGCAGTGAAGAAAATTTCTTAGAAATCTCACTAACTAAAATAACATACTTCAGCAGAAGCATTCTATACATCTAGTGAAAAATGTTAAAGGACAACAGAAAAAAGACTAAGAAAACATCATCGAACAAATTTCTAGATTTATCAGGTAAGTCTTATCTAAAAAGCTGACCCAAAAAAGGAAAACCATTGTATGTGGTAGAAATTTTTATGCCAACTAATAACAGACTGTGTAAGGTGTTGTGGAGTGGAAAAGAAGAAAACTTCTAAAAGTAGGTTCTCTTTGTCCATATAAATTATGTTTACTTTTGGAATCTATTCTTTTATCAGGTCTCACATTCCTGTTGGCTAGAAATCAAACCCCAAACTAACCAACACTTAGCATCACTGGTCTCATTACTTCCTGTCACTGGAAAACGGGGTGAGCTGTTCACATTTTAGTGTCTTCAATCTGGTTAGGTTTAATACACCCAGTTCTCATTTCAAGTTTTCAGAGGTAGGTTTACCAAAGCTAACCATGTTATCTAATGGTATCATAATACAGCACAGCCAAAAGGAAAAACAAAAAACAAAACAATCTGGAGAGATGGCTTAGCAGTTAAGAGCACTGGCTGTTCCTCCGGAAGTCCTGAGTTGGAGTCCCAACCATTTATAACTATAGTCCTATGGGATCCAACACCCTCTTCTGGTATGCAGATGTACATGCAGACCATATACATCCATATACATAAAATAAAAACATCTTTAAAAAAAGGGAAATCATTAGGATGTACCTAGACTCTTCCCAATATTGCCAATGAGCGCTTAGGTGCAACGAAAGCTTACAGCACTCACGTGTGCACGCTGGGGACATGGTGGTACATATTTTTAATACCAGCATGTGGAAGGCAGAGACAGGCAGAACTTTGTTTGAGAACAACATGGTTTATATACCAAGTTCCAGGTGAGATACTGTCCAAAACCCTCCTAACTCCACCCCTAAACAAATCCCCAAACGTTTGCTTACATTAAACATCCATATCAGACACTGGGCAACTAGATAGCAGTAGGATTTTATTTTGCCTCACTATTATGAACTTACCTTGGCTTTGTCTCTCATTGAACCCTTCCCTAAGACAGAGATCTTTGCACCAGTCTCTTCCTGCAGTCTTTTGATTGTATTTCCTTGTGGTCCAAGAATCTTCCCCACGAAATTGAACTGACAGAAAATTGAAAAACAGAATTCTAAATACACATGCCTCTATAAAATTTAAACTTTTAACATGCCATTTGATCCTTAACAACCCTATAAAGTAAGAATCTTTATATAGAAACACATGAAATCCCCATTTTACCCAAAAGGTGGAGTTAGGAGGGGTGAGACAATGTCTCACTGTGTAGCTTTGGCTGTAGCAATGAGTGATTATCCGTAAGCTTGTAACTGGAAGTGGCAGTTCCTAGACCAGACTTTGGATTTCCTGATAAAGACTGGTAGTCTTTCAAAAGTCACTGCAACTCTTAATACTGTTATATAATATTTTAAAATGCATACTTCTCTTAGGATCAGACTCACACCGCACATAAGTAAGAGCACCTGTTCTGAGTTAGAAAGAACAAATGCTGTACCTGTTGGTAGCCTGTATGGTAAACTGAGTGCTAGCTACTCTCCTTTAAAAAGGAGGAAGTTGAAACACTTTTAAAATTTTACACTTATTTACATGTACACCAGGCACGTGCAAGCGAAGAGAACGCCAGTCGGGGAAGCCACACTTCACATGTGATCAGGATAACTTGTGGAAGTTAGTTCTTTACCATGTGGGTAAGAATTTTTAGCCCAAAGCACCTACCTTTTCTTGTTTTTTTTTTCGAGTCAAGGTTTCTCTGTATAGTCCTGGCTGTCCTCAAAATCAGAGGTCTACCTGCTGTCTCCAGATTAAAGGCGTGTGCCACCACTACATGGCAGAAGCAGCTTCTTTAAAAGCAAATTCTAAAAGGCTGGAGAGATGGCTCAGGGGTTTAAGAACACTTGCTGCTCTTCCAGAAGGCCTGGGTGGGATTCCTAGCACCCACATGGTAGCTTATAATCATCTGTGATTCCATTTCCAATGGATCCTACACTTTCTTCTGCCTTCTTCAGGCCTGCTCACACATGTTGCACATACATACATACAATAAAATATTCACATGCATTAAATAAAGTTCATCCCATTTGAGGATATGTGTTGTATTTTATTTGACTTAAACTGTAAGTCAAGGGCAGAAAAATGGCTTGTTGAGATAACATTACTTGTTGCTCTTGGAGAAGATTAGGTTCTGTTCCAGCACCCACAAATGGATTCACAACAACGTGTAGCCCCAGTTCCAGAAGGTTCTTACACTCTCTTGGCTTCCTTAAGCACAGGGCACCTACATGGTGCACATATAATATACATGCAGGCACTTAGATGTGTGCATAAAGTAAGATAAATTCTAAGTCAACCTTCTGACAAAGAGCAATGCTTCAGGGATCCAGAATTTTACTTTGGGCCTAAAGCCTGAGCAAAACATGAAAAAGTAATTAGTTTTGATTACTAAAGGTAACTGTACTTCTTTTTCTTTTTTTTTTTAAATCTGGAAAATATGATTTATTAAAATTGAGCCTGAAAGAAATAGAGCACTAAACTCATCTTGTTTTTCTTTTACAGAAGTAAAGTCTTAAAAAATATTCTTAATGAATAACAAATACTTTAGAATGAAACATATTCACTGGTAAATTAAAAGAAACAATACTAATCTTTCATAAGCTTCATCAGAATGCAAAATAAAGGAGGAGTGTTTTTCTTTTCTTTTTTGGGGGTATGTACCATTTATTAAAGAGAAAAGCAAATTGCATACTGATGAAATACATGTGTTCCTCATTTTTTATGTATAATTTTATTTTATTTTTTTATTAATTATACTTTATTCACTTTGTATCCCCCATAAGCCCCTCCCTCCTTCCTTCGCGATCCCACCCTCCCTCCCCCTTCTTCACGAATGCCCCTCCCCCTTCTTCACGAATGCCCCTCCCCAAGTCCACTGATAGGGGAGGTCCTCCTCTCCTTCCTTCTGATCTTAGTCTATTAGATCACATCAGGAGTGGCTGCATTGTCATCTTCTGTGGCCTGGTAAGGCTGCTCCCCCCTCAGGGGGAGGTGATCAAAGAGCAGGCCAATCAGATTATGTCAGAGGAGTCCCTCCTCTTCCCATTACTATGGAACCCACTTGGACACTAAACTGCCATGGGCTACATCTGTGCAGAGGTTCTAGGTTATCTCCATGCCTGGTACTTGGTTAGAGTATGAGTCTCTGGGAAGACCCCCGTGTTCAAATGTTCTGGTTCTGTTGCTCTCCTTTGTAACTGTACTTCTTTCTTGACTAAAACTATGCTGTTAGTATGGACTTTTGATATTTTTTAACTTCCAGAAACAGGTACTTCAAACACAGGGAATCTTTACAGGTGGATGCATGGCCATCCCATGTCTTTATCACAGGCAACAACACACCAATCTACAATATTAACTCACAAAATTGAGCCACTTTTACATTTACCTTTGGATACTGCTTGACGGGTATCAGTACCCGTTCTTTTAGCTTCATGTTCTTATGAGAAAATAAATCCAAGTAATTCTCCTCGTCGTCTTTTTTTGACTCTCCCTTCTGAATCTTCTCAATTTCTGAATAAAAAAAAACAGAATTTAATTTTTTTACTTGTAAGTAAAGGAATCCGGCAAGACTGCTTAAAGCAGTATTGTGGAGTACTGGATAAAAAGACCAAGCAGTTCAGTACAGATGAATGTACTAATTTTAGATACACTGGGTGTAGCACCTAAAACGATAAGAGGTTGGCTATGGAACCTGCTTCCCACCCTCATCTGAAGTGTCTGTGCCATACATTCACACGTTTCTTGACTTAAGAGTCCATGCACTGGCCATGCATGGTGACGGACACCTTTAAACCCAGCACTCAGGAGGCAGAGGCAGGTGGATCTCTGAGTTCCAGGCCAGCCTGGTTTACAGAGCCGGTTTTAGGATAGCCAGGGCTACAAAGAGAAACCCATCTCAAAAAAACAACAAAAACAAAAATATATATACATTTATTTAAATTAATTCAGTGAGATGGTAAAAAGAGATTTAAAAAATTTGAACAAATAAAAATCTTCAGCAAGAAAAAAAATACAAAGAGGATTAGAGAGATATCTCAGCTATTAGAAGCCCACAGTGCGCTTCCAGAAATCCTGAGCTCACTACCCACAGCAGAGTGACTTTCAGCCGCCTCTAACCTCCAGGATCCAAAGCAGTCTTCTGGACTGCATAGGCACTGACAAACACATATAAAAATGAAAACAAACCAAAAAATCTTTTTATAAAAGCTGGGCTGTTTGCAGCAAATTCATCACAGCTTATTACAGATTTCTTTGTTCCTTCTCTGCTCCTACTGTTTTACCTGACCAACTGAAGAAAGAGAAGTTTCCCAATAAAGGAACAAAAACTAACATTTAAAGACAGGTCCGGGCTGGAGAGATAGCTCAGTGGTTAAGAGCACTGCCTGCTCTTCCAAAGGACCTGGGTTCAAATCCCACCCACATGGCAGCTCACAACTGTCTATAATGCCAATTCCAAGCGATCTGACACCTTCACACTAATGCACATTGAATAAAATTAAATAAATAAAAATATTAAAAAAAAAAATAAAGACAGGTCCATTACCATTTCATTATAGCAATAGTGTTTTTGTTTTTCTTAGACAGGGAAGTTTCCTTCCTTTTAAACTGAGGAGTTTGAAAGATCCTATTCTTACCCTGTCACACATCAGTAGTTGTCATCTTAGAAAGTTATGTAACTGTTCTGCATATTTGTTTTCTCATTTACAAAATACAAGCAAAATCAACCTTTTATAAGGAAAGACTAACAATGAGGGATAAAAGTGTCTGCCTGTGGTCCCAGCTTTCAGGAGCCAACCAGGAGGCTCCTGCTTAAGTACAGGGCTCCTCTGGTATTTCTCAACTACTGAGATATATAGTTAGGCCCTTCAGCTGTAGCTTATGCCACTTTGCAGAAACTTCAGTTACAGTACAAGAAGACTCAAAAGCTGGATTTGCAAACTGATGGTATTAAGGTTTGTTTATATGCAATATAAAGTACCCTATAAATTTAGGGCCTACCTATGACACAGAATTACTCCACTGCATTTTCTACTAGTTATTGGTTCTCGGAATCCTTTTCCTACTGTTCCACAACTTTTAAAAGAATACCAACCATTTTAAAGAATTCAAAGAATGGCGATCAATGAAATAAAACTTCAGCTTGGAGTAGAGCTAAGAATATGTCTGAGCCAGCTGTGCTTACTACACAAAGATTCATATTCATATATTTAGATTATAATTATATTATTATAATATATTATTTACAATATATTCATATTACTATGAATATAACCCCCCAAAAAAAAACCAGAAAGTGGCAAGTGCTCCCTGTAACCTAGACTCTGGCGTTGTAGAGACAGTGAATCCCTGGGTTTGATGGCCAGCAATCTAAACAGTGAGCTCCAGGTGCAGTGAGAGACTATCTTAAGAAATAAGATAGCAAGTGAAAGTAAAACAAGTAATACACTGGTGGAGAAGAACCGAGGAAGAAACCAGACATTATCTGGCTTCCATACATGCATGCAAAGGAGTCAGAATAGCCGAGGAAGCAAGACTAGCAAACGACGTGAGTCTTCACCAAGGCTCATCTGCCATATTCAGAAGAGGATACCGTAACAGATACTATCTGATTTTCCCTCAAAAACAACTCAGTAGAGTTGTTGGTATATATCCCCATTTTATAACCAAGAAATTAAAACCGGAGCATTTAATTACATCTAGGTTATAACTGGGTGGTGGTGGCACACACCTGTAATCCCAGCACTTGGGAGACAGAGGTAGGCGGATCTCTGTGAGTTCGAGGCCAACCTGGTCTACAAAGTGAGCCCAGGACAGCTAAGGCTACACAGAGAAACCCTATCTCAAAAACAAAATAAAATTACATCTAGGTCACAAACTGCTAACGTGGCAGAAAGCGGACTAAAACATAGGCTTGGAGCTAAAGATACGGCTCAGTGGTTAAGAGCATGCACTGCTCTTGTACAGAACAGTGGTTCAGGTCCCAGTCCCCACATGGCAGCTCACAACCATTTTCGACTCCAGTTCCAGAGGACCCGAATGCGTTTTTGGTCTCCATGCACGCCAGGCAAACACTTGATGCACATATAAATGTAGCCATGACACTCATACACATAAATCTAAAAACACTAGGCATTTTCTAACTTCAAATCTCACATCTTTCCTATGCTCTCTTAGTGGAGAACAGAGGACACTTTAGCAAAGGAAGCGCTAATTTTTAAAAAGTTTGTAGAACTACAATTTATACCTAGTGAGGGAGCACAAACCCTTAATCTCAGCACTTGGGAAGCAGAGGCCAGGGATCTATAGAGTGAGTTTCAGGGCAGCTATGCACATAGTTTTTGCCCTCCCCCCAAAAAGAAAGAAAATAATTTAAAAAGGAAGCTTCCCATGGCTTACCCTAAACCAAATGTGGTAGCATATGCCTGTGATCCTAGCACTCAAGGACTTCTGTGGTTCAGAGCCAATCTGAGACATATCAAGAACTTGTTTTTTAAAAAGTAGATAAAGAACTAAAAAGATATCTTACCCTCAGGCAAAAGCACTCTCTAAACAACACTTCTATAACTGACTCCCTCAAACGATGTTTGCATGGGCCTCTGGAGACCTTCAAAGTCCCAAGAGCCAAAGAAAGAAAAGCTAAGGTATAAACAACACAGAGATGTGACCCATCTGTTTGTTGGCCTGGCAATTATAACTTCTATCTAATCCAAGTGTCTGATTTGTCAGGAGTTTTGGATTACTCAATATAACCAAGACTATGCCCACTTAATGGGAAAAGAAACCTGAATTCAGAGTTATGGAATTCGCCACCAAATTAATGAGACAACACTTGCACCAACTCACTGTTTTTGCCATAGTAAATGCAATTAAGCTTAAGGCTTTTTTTAAAAAAAGTATCTTTTCTAATTTTTCTCCCTTTTGTCCCCTGTAAGCTTCCAAAAATTAGGATTATTTAATGATTCCTAGAAAAAAAGAACAGGGTTTCTATTTGTTTAAAAAGGGGGAGGGGCTCACCTAGGTGAGATACTCTTCCTCTGTACCCTCCAGAGGACAAGGCTTTAGATGTGCACTCTCATGCACACCAAGCTAGAACACACATTGTGAGGGGCAGACAATTGTGAGTCCTTGGCTCTGCTGCACTTTTAAGTGTGACCTTTTAACATAGGATAAGCTGAGCAATGCTTATTGACCCATGTCTATAACCCCAGCACTTGGGAGGTAGAAAGATCAGAAGTTCAAGGTCAACCTGGGCTATGAGACCCTGCCTAAAACTACATGACCCCCAACCCCACAAAAAACCAAAGAGAATAAAAAAGAAAAAGAATGCATACAAAAGGTTAATATTGGCTAAGCCTGGAAAAATATATGAACAGAATTTATTGGTTTAAGCCTTCAGAACGTTGGAAAAGGGTTTCACGATAAAGCCAGGAAATTTTAGTGAGATCTGGTCTCAAAATAAAAAAGTAAACAGAGCTAGGCTGTGGTGGTGCCTGCCTTTGGTAGATCTTAAGAGTTTCAGGCCAGCCAGGTCTACAGAGTGAATTCCAGAGAAACCCTGTCTCAAAAAAAAAAAAAAAAAAAAAAAAAAAAAAAAAAAAAAAAAAAAAAAACCTGTAAAAAGAACAGAATATAGAGTCCAATGGTAGAACACTTCAGCATGCATACAAAGGTATTAGCGCCAAAGAATAAAATTATGTCATCCTCTAGACTCCAGGTGTGCTTGGCTCATACTTCTGACCACTGCATCCCTTCTCCTGTTTATAATTTCGGGAATTCTATAATCATCAAACTAAATAACTTCAATTCATAGTTAAATAACTGCAGGACACACACACATATGTAAACACGATGTAAGAAATCTCCTTACTTCCTTCATTCATGTATTATTTCCAGCCTTTAGAGCTTTTTCTGTTAGTGCTATCTTTTAGAAACAAGACAATGATTTATGTGTAAAACAGACAAAACCTACTCCAAAATTTTTATTTGCCACACTGTTTCAAGTAAAAACACCTAGCATTTTAACCTTTTCTTGGGGGGGGGGGGGTGTCGTGGTCCCTCCAAGCATTTGAAGAAAGCTATAGGCTACCCTCCAACTATATAAAGTCATAATATACTGCATACAACAGTAGCTAGGAATGGAGAAAAAATGACCTAGCAGTGGTGCCACACGCCTTTAATCGCAACTCTTGGGAGGCAGTCAGGATGATCTCTGAGTTCAAGACTAGCCTGATCTACAGAGTGAGTTCCAGGATAGCCAGGGCTACACTGAGAAAACAAAACAAAACAAAAAGCCTGTCTTTAAAAATAAAACAAAACAAATGGAGAGAATGTGGGTACTGGCTCCTCCCAAAGCCTGAGTTTGGAATCCTTTTATAAGAGAAATTCTTATAGGCAAAACCCCTATTATGGCATATTTATCATGGCTTTCCAAATCCTTTCCTTAGAGAATAACTTTAAAGTTAGGAAATTTTCTTTTTAAATTAATATTTTTGAAAGAAGAAAATCTGTAT